TGTACCTCAGTATAAAAGCACTTGGTTCGGTCCCCAGTACTACCTGCACCCCCATAGCTAATGCATACTGTAGCTATGCCTTGCTTCCTTATTAACCTGGCCTAGCAGCCTTTCTACCTGGGACTCAAAAGAACATAGCAGACATTTTACAAAGACTCCATAAGCGGTGTTCTGTACTGGTCTGGCCTGAGTGGATCTTTAGTTTTTGTTGTTGTTGTTGTTGTTTTCCGGTACCAGGAATTAAACTCAAGACCTTGCGATTACCAGGCAGGCGCTCTGCCGCTGAGCTAAATCCCCAACCCCACGGATCTTTAAATATAGTTACTGTTTTAAGTATATTTCACTTGAGCCCACATTAATTGGCCTCTCTCTTATGATCAGGTTTTAAAGGGAGAAATGAGACTGGGGATAGAACTCAACAGTAGAGCAGTTGCTTGCTACGCAAGAGGCTGTGAATTTGAACCCCAGCACTGAAAACAAACAAACAAGAAGTGGAAATTGAAGGAGGCTATGGCCCCAAAACCTGCCCCAGGTCACCAAATCAAATCAAGCTCAGAACAATGAGGTACCTTAAGGCCCCTCCCCCAAATTGTCCCCAAGCTCACACCCCCTTGTCATTTGATCCATGCTGACCCGCTCCCCTGGGATGAATCTGCCGGCCCCTGGATAGGAATTCACGGTGTCCTTGGGTTAGATAGCTCTAATTCATCCTTCTTCCTTGTATTGGAAGAACTGCCTGAGCACTGAAGAAAGCTCATGTGGGCTTTCTTGTCCTGGAGATAAAAGCTCTGTCCCGTAGTAATTAGGCAGAGCTCTGGTTTACTTCTGACACCTGATTAACTCCTTGGGAAGGCAGGTAAATTCTGAGAGTTGTTATTTAAGGTGGCTATGCTTGGAGAACAAAAGGGAGACTTTCCACATTGTTGTGCCTCCAAGGTTGCTGTGAGCCGTTCCAGAGGCAGTTGCCTGCCTGGGAGCAGACTGGAGAAGAGGAGTGACAGGCTACAGCTTCTGTTACAAAAGCCCCACAAGAGCTTAGGCCTTTGTACGAGCAGCTCTTCTGGACTTGCCTCCAGTCCCGCCTCTGAAGGGCCCTGGGGAGACTGGCCCACATTCTGTTCTATAGTTTCCATCATAAAGATTTTCCCTCTCTCAGAGTCACAGAGAAGGGACTGGTTTGCTATATTTCTCATAAACCTTTGTGATACAGGAAAATAAAGACTCCCAACCTGAACGATGTCTGGGATGAGTTCGTGTTCTCTAAAACTGAAGAATGAATTTTAGGAACAATGGAGGTTAAGAGCAGAATATATTTATTGAGGGAAAGAAAGCTTCTGTCCGAGAGAGGGACAGAAGGGGGCCCGAGTGGGTTGCCAAGGACCTTGCCCCTCCCAGGGACTTTATAGAGCAAAACCCTGAGGTGAGGCGGGTCTAAGATAGGGAGAAAATGGGAATTACAAGGTGGGCATGAGGTGGGACAAAACTATGGTCGGCCAGTAAGGTTGCAAGTGTAGTTGTTCAGGTAAAATTGAGTAAACTGGAATCAAATGGGGAAGCCAGTCGCATAGCAAGCGGACATGAACGCGGAACAGGGGCTTTTCCTGTAGGGGGTTGCGCTAGTGACTCTGGCTTTTTGAAGGTGGTTGCTACCTATTTAGAATATCAATCCCTGATGTTCACACCTAGGGAGGTCTGTGGGTGCGTTTGTTTAGTCCTTTTGTCTTGAGGTCTGGCGCACAGGTATCTTATCTTGTCTCTCATATTGGCTCCTTTGAGGACCTGGCCCTGTCTGACTGCCTATGATATTTTTATCTAACTCAGCTGCCTATAACATTTGTATTGCTTGACTTGTTTATAGTGGATATGTGTTATGTATATAAGCAGAACACATAAAGTCATAGTCATGGTACAAGGAAGGCAAAGAGAGGTCAAAGCAATCCCTGGGACTGGCAGAGTCCTGTGATAGTCAGGTCAACAGTAACGCAAAAGAGGCTTGTGAGATTATGATACTGTAAAAGGCTCCTAGGATTCTAAGCAAGACCATTCCTAACATGGTGACGAAATAGGAAGACTCCTTCACCCTTCTTTGGTGGCTCAGTGCCAGGCTTTTCTACACTCCACAAAAGGCCCTGTCCAGACTTTCCAGCCCAGGGAACCTCTTATATTGGACAGTTATGACTTCTTTGATGGTTGATATTCGTCTGAATTCTCAACCTTGAGGCTCCATGTTCCAGGTAAAAAGAACTACTGACACATTCTAGAAAATATTCTCTACCTGGTAGTATACGTGTGTTTGCTGAACAGGTAGACGGCATAAAGCTCAGTTTAGTCCAAATGTATGAGAATTTCTGACACGTCAGTGGGAGAAGGGAGAGGTTGACTAGGGACCTTCTGGAACCTTTAAAATTATATCTCGTGAGTACCTTCCGAGTGGGCGCACTGGTTCTCAGGCTTCTATAGATAAAAGTTGTAGGCATGGGCAGCCTGTCACTCCCCGTATTCATCAGGAGACTTGTTTGACCTGTGCCAGTTTCCTCATTGGTAAAATGGGGATAATATTTACCTAATAAGGCTGATATGAAGATTACATGCCTTGAGATAGTGTTTGGCACCCAGGAAGATCTTAATTAATAAATGTTAGCTCTTATCACTATTGTTATCCAAAGTCTGCCAGGAGTTATAATATTTGAAGTAGATCTTCAGATGGAAATCTGGTTGATTCCCAGAGAGCTAAGATAGTTTTTAAAATTCTTTACATATTCAACCTGGTTGCTGTCAAACTTTTCTAACCAAAGTCTTTCTGAAGTTTCTGTCACACAGCTCCCCATTTGTTGAATTACTTCAGTCTATATGCTAATTTCTGCAAGTTAAAGATAACTTAATTTTCCAACAATACTTCATAAATGAGTCACTTTGTGTTTATATGTAGTGTAATACTTGGATTCGTTCACGTTAAAAATACAAAATTCTAAGCTGACACATTTCCATTATGCACTGACAGCCCTGGAGCTATTGCATGAAGTTCCAGCTCCCCTCCATCGTACTGAACATGTTACAAAGACTAGTTCAAAGTGGATTGAATTTGAGCTCTGAAAAAAAGGATGAGAAGGGTAATCTACTTTCTTACTGTTACAATTTTCAACTCATCTGAAATTCTGTCTGATGTTTCTTTTTGTCCTTTCCCTTTCTTCAATGAAAGAAGACTTTGGAGAAGTAGTAAGAATGCTGCGGTAATCAGAACTAATTTGGCCATCCTCTGAAGAAAGAACATGTTGATTTCTCACATTGGTTCCTCCACCCATCAGAACAGGGCCAGGGATGTGGTACATTTCACAAACTAGTCCCACTTGACCAGCTGCTTTTGGATGTGTCAAGCCCAGATTTCAACCTCTTTACATAGAACATGTTGCCTTCCTTGAAACAGTTCCTGTGAGACTAAAGAAAATCCCGTGTGGCCTGAACATGATGTAAGAGGGATGTGTGCTTGAGATTTCAAGACACACCCTCTGAGTTCCTGGCATCTCTTTACCATAATAATAACACAACCACAGACTTCCTTGTGTGACCTTCACGGCCACATCTGTCTTGAGTTGACTGTGTTTTCTAGCAAGCCTGGACAGGAAAATCCAACTCTCCTTCCTATGGATCTATGGACAGTGCTAGAAGTCAGGCCTGCCAAACCCAGTGTCCAGAGAGCTCAGCATTTACAGTTGGACAGAGCTCCTGTGGTCTTTCTGGACCATATTTTACCCCTGATATAAGGTAAAGGAAGGGAATGGGTCTCTATCACTTGAAATAGTGTGTTATAGTGTTTGATTGCTTTAATTGGACCTGAAGTGAACTTTCTAAATTCAGATCACAATAAAACCAGTTCATACTTGTTAGTAAGTTGAAGTTCATGATACTTACGTTAACTTTTTATTTTAAAAACTTAAAAGTAAAGCTTACTAATTTTCCTACATTTTTATTCCTATATGATTCCCCTACCATAGTGAAAAGAAATCAGCATTTCTTAGATTTCTATAGAACACCATGTTTTTCATTATTTCTTTCACCTTATTAATCCTCACAACTAGGCTATATGAGGTCAGCATTATCGTTAATCTCAGAGATGAGAGAAGTAAGAATTGGAAAGGTTACAGCACCCAAATTAAGGGGATATTACTCAAAACTAAATAGTTTTAAGTTAAAATGTTAATATCAATGCTAAGAGCCAATAAGGCAATAACTAAAAATTATAGCAAAACTAAACAAGGAAAAAATGAAAATCATATTCCAGAAAAATAATATAAATAAGACAGTAATAGAAAAAACAGAAGAGAAACAATATAGCAGACAAACAAAACAAATAGCAAAATGACTGCCCATATACCCTATATTACCAGTAATTACATTAAATGTAAATGGATTAAACACTCTGATCAAAGGCAGAGATTGGCACAATGGTTAAAAAGAAGCCATGATTCAACTGTATGCTGTCCATAGGAGACATAGTTTACAGTCAAAGAAACTAATAGGAAAAAAAAGACAAATCAAAATATATTATGTACAGGTACAAATTCCCTATGATGAATGTGATCATTGTATATACCTAAAGTATACCAATAAACTTAATTAATTTTTTTAAAAAGATACTCATAGCTTGAAAGCAAAAAAGATGCTCAAATATACATCATATAAACAATAAATAAGAACTGGAATAGTTATATAAATATCACACAAGACAGACTTTAAGACAAAACGTGTTACTGGAAAATACAGGATATTTTATAATGATGAAAAGCTCACTCTGTTAGGAAGACCTAACTATTATAAATATATTTCTGGCGCTGGGGATTTAGCTCAGCGGCAAAAGCGCCTGCCTGGCAAGCGCAAGGTCGTGAGTTCGGTTCCCGGTACCGGAGAAAAACCAAAACCAAAAAAAAAAAAACAAAAAAACAAAATAAATATATTTCTGTGTAATAACTAACCCCCCAAAAAAAGATATATGAACCAAAAACTAGCAAAACTGGAGAAATAGATATTATCAGTATTGGTTGGAAATTTTAACACCACACTTTCAATAATGAATAAAACAACTAGATAGAAATTTGACAAGAATTAGAAGAGTTGAACAACACTATGACCTAATAGACTTCTACAGAGCACCCCACCCAACAACAGCATAGATACATTCTTATCAAATGTACATAGAGTATCCTCTAGCACAAACTATAGATTGGACTATAAAATGAGCCTCAGTATATTTTAAAGAATTGAAATCAGACAAATTTCTCTAATCACATTGGAATAAAATTAATAATAAGAGATGAACATTTGGAGAATTCTAATGTGTACAACTTTTAAAATACACACAGGCACACTGCTCAATAAGCAATAGGCTTAAGAATAAACCACAAAAGAAATTAGAAAATACTTTGAGAAAATTAAATAAAATATAGCATTCCAAAATGTATATAGTATAAAGTGGCATTTAAAGGGAAATTTATAGCTCTAATGCCTATGTTAAAAATAATTTTATTACATATAAATTACATCTCATTAAAACTGGTACTCATATTGAAAGAATCAGTAACCCATATTTTTGACTGTTGAGTTTGCACACTACCATATATGTGTATTCACTAAATTCTGTCTGATTCTAATACAGTTTAAGAAGAATCACTAATTCTTTGAAACCACATGCAACATTCACTGAAAAAAAATCCAACATTTTTAAGCCTTTGAAAAAAATCTTAAGCTTATCATTAGTTATGCTCACGCTAAGTATTTAAGGGAAAATATACTAATGTTTGCAGTTTGCTTTGAAATGCACAAGAACCAAAGAAAGATGGGTAGATGGATGAACAGAGTTTATAAACTTATGAGTTTACAAGTATTCATTATAAAATTTTCTCAACCTTGTTTTATGTTTGAAATTTTTTTATGATAAAATGTTGGGGAAAAACAATTAACTGCAAATATCTCACTGACCTGGAACTACATATTATTCTCCTATAATTTATTAAAGTACTATCCTACTGATCTGAAAAAAAATCAATAAATTATTTAAGAATGAAGCTCTTTTCTAGGCAGTAGCTTTACATAGTTTTGGAACTTGACACATAATAGATAAACATTTTGAAAAGAGTCACCAGAGAGGTGTTATGAAAAAACATGATGACAGTCTATGAAGGAATAAGTTTTTCCACCTCAGATATAAACTTTCTAGAAGATTCTTCCAAGGGTATAGAATTATATTTAATTAGGGATTCAGACCAGCTTACTCTCTGACCCCTAATTGCTATAGGAAAAGTGAAGTTGGCCATATATAAATAAATCACTAAATTTATGCCTGCTCAAATACATTTCATTTTTCCAACCTGCGTTTCCAGCACTATATTACTTCTACAGATTTTACTCCCCCATGTGAGGAAGGCAGTTCACATGCCATTAAAAAGTCATTGCTCGCTCTACCCCAAGCCTGTGGAGCTGTGGTGTTGAGGTGGCCGTGTTGCATGCAGAGTGATTTTCCAAGTGATGAAGTAGATTCTAATCAGCATCATAGCCAGATATGCGCTGGGAGCTGGACCCCTGCCACTTTTCCCTCCAGCTCTCTTAACAGTGACTAGGGAATTCCTGTGAGGATCGTTGGGTACATTGCAAGCCTCCCTGATATCACGGCCTCCTGCCAGTCACAGATCTTCCTGTCTGGAGCATTTCCGGCCCTTCTGTCCCTGGGTATGGGGAGTTCAGCTCAACCTGGGGAAGGGACAGAAGACTTGAGGTTATCAAAAGCCTGTTGAATTATCTGATGCAAGATGAACTGGCTTGTTTGCCTCCCTGGCTCTCTTCCTGGGCTTGCAAGCAGCTGAGAAAACAACCTTTTTCTAAGTCTTGGACAAGAAGGAAAAACCCTGGCATGATGGAGTTTTGTCGCAGACACTTGGCATAACTAGAGGAAAGGTTTGTTTAATTTAGCAATGGGTTTTATTAGCCAAGGACTCCAGTTGAAGTGAGATAATAGGGTCCCTGTTGAAAACATTACAGAGTCAGTGGGACTCACTCTCACTTCTCAGAAAGCTTTTCGTGTGCCAATGAAGCTATCAGACACATTCAACAAGGACATCATCACTACATTCATTGAGAACCAATCTTGCAGATCACAGGGAGATGGAAGCAAGACTGAACTAGAACTAGCCAGACAAGTTGTGGATGGGCACAAGGTCATATTTCCAAGCGATCTCTTTCAGTTATTTCTCACCATAGTGTTCTTGGCGAAACATACTACATTGTCACCTTAGAGCAGAAACCAGGATAAAAAGAAAGCTAGTCCAACCACCTAGCCCTACAGGAAGAAATTCTGCTTACCTTTTTCCTCTGGCAGCTCGTTTCACTCCTCCCTTCACCCTCAAGCCATGTGAGCTTTGGGATAGTGGGCGGGAATGGGAAGCAAACAGAAGAGAGGAAGGATTCATCACCAGTGTTAAAGGAAGCCTTCCTGCCACAGAAATTGGGGAACAGAAAGTGGAAGAACCAGAATCGGTGCCAGCTTGCCCTTGGTGTATGGCTGCCTATTTAAGTCCGCATTCGCAAGCCACAGAAGCAAAACTCACTGTTTCCTAAGGCTGGGCTCCACTGCAGGAACTCACAGAGTCTGCCAGGACCAGAGCGCTGCAAAAGCAGCCTCCAGAATAGCCTGTACCCAAGGAGAAGGGTTGGGCTGGGGTGACCCAGATGAGGCTCCACCTTACTTTAAAAAGAGGACACAGGCAGTATCCCTCGAAGGTGTCACCATTTTGGAGAAAGGTTCGGGTTCCTGTGCCTAGCTCTTTCTGTCCTGTGACTCCTTGTCCACTTTCTGAGATTCACAGAAGTGGGACAGGCCAGGAAAAACATGTGATGCTATAGCAAGCTGGAACCAAAGACTTGACTTTGGGCTCTGCCCAAGCTGAAAATCTTGGCAGAGATTCACTGGATAGCCTGCTCTTTTCTGTGGCATCTTATGAATCCCCTAATTTGAAGGAAAAGACATCACAGTTAAGTCCTCAAAGTGGTTACGAATCTGTAGGACTTTGTGGATGCCCAGTTTGTGTGTTTATTCACTCATTCTTGCATTTCATAGATGAGTTTCTGTTATATATGTAGCACTAAACTGCAAGTGTGGGACCAGGAACGGCAACAATGATTCCATGAGGTCTGCCTTCAAATAGATGACAGTGAATCCAGGTAATAGTAACTGCAAAGCAAGGATGGAAGCAGTATCATTATTAGAGAAAAACAGGTAAAACACGATGGGATTAGAAAGTTGGCACTAGGCTGGAGAAATTGGTGTAAATTTCTGGAAGACAGGACCAAATTGGCATTTGTATGAGGTGTAAAGAGTAGTAAGCTTTGGACATTCAGGGGTAAAAGGAAAAAGGAAGATGACCAATGTGGAAGCCATGAGTAGCTCTTTGTTTTGTTTCATGCAATACCCACTCTGCAGTGGCAGGCGCAGGTTGCCCTTACTTGCTGTTACAGATTCTCCTCATCTAATGGATAGATCTGTAAGTGTGAAACTGGGGCCTGCCCTCGTGGTAGTTATAAGTTAGGACTAGAGAACCAAGTAGCCGAGTTGGAATCTAGCTTAGCATTCATAAGCTACCTACTTCAAAAGGCTCTCACAAAGGTTAATGCATGTTTGTTGTTGCTCTCCTCCTCATTACTGCTGTAGAACCCTGGAACACTCCTCCACCCACTCCCCTCTTCCCACTGCACTTTCCACCACTACAGACCATTCTTCCGCCTTAAGAGTCTTATGTAAAAATACGGATACCTGATAAGGACAACACTGGAAGGTTGAAACCAGCTGTCCCTTTAGGGCTAGAGAGAATTAGTTGACAACTTATTTGCTGAGAGCAAAATTAATACTGTAGGGGAGAGACACAGGAGGAGAAGAGGGTGAACAGGGACTTCCACCTTTTATTTAGAGCACCTAAGTCTTTGTACTTTCATCTCCTATAAATTGCATGACACCTCCACAGGGCAACATAGAGAGAAAATGAACAGTGAGAAACAATCCTGCCAGTCACAACTGCAAAGTACAGACAGGGAGCGGCTGAGATCAAAGACGATGCCTGCAATCTTGATCTCACGAAGAATTCAGAAGATGCAACTGAGCAATAAACTGAGACACAAGTAGATGGCCCTCTTTTTTTTGGAGGGGGTCAGAGCTGGACAGGGTCTTGCTGTGCAGTTCAAGCTGGCCTTGAGCTCACTTTGTAGCACAGGCTGGTTTTGAACTCCCAACGATCCTCCTGCCTCAGCCTCCCAAGTGCTGGGATTCCCAGCGTGTGCCACCACGCCCTGCTGGCCCTCTTTCCATGAGTGCAAATTCACACAGGGTAAATTGAACCACCTATCCCAGAGTAGATGCTGAATAAACTGTAGTCGATGGATGGATTTGAATGCTCAAAAAATGAAGGGCATATGGTAGAATGTCAAAGTACACAAAAGCCCTAAGGCTTCTCTGGGCTTTCTTCCACCATCAAATGTCAGCTTCATAGGGACAGGGACTTTACTGTTTTGTCCCCTGTGTTGCCTGTACCTGGAGCAGCCTAATTCAAGGGAAAGAACCCAGTGGATATCTATGGACTGAGTGAGTGCATGGATGAATGGACAGTATAAACAATGGAAATTCCTTCCAGAGGGACTATGGGATTTGGGACCCAGCACCTACTGTGTGTCAGGTCTACCTTACTTGTTCCTCAAGGGAATTTAAAGATACCAGTGACTGCTTTCCTTGAACGAGTAGGTGAAGAAAGGAGAAAGGATAGATGCTAAAGTGCAGTTAAAGTTGAGCTGGTCTAGTAGGAAGGAAACATTCAAGAGAAAATAACGAGGCTGTGTGAGGTAGGTGGGATTTACAGCTCACAATACATACCTGCCTCACGGAGCTCCAGGCTGCCTAATCCGCCTGTGTCTGCCCTCATTCTTTCTCAATCATATGTTCCTCTGCATCTTCAGTGAGTTCCAGAGCCAGCTCCACACATTGCACACAGGACTGAACGGGATTAAAGTTTTTCACGGAGGACCTGGAATTTTATTAGGCCCTGAAGCCTCCCTGCAGGGCATTACGTATCAGAGAAGATGGAGTGACACTGGACGGCAGTCCAAGTCACACAAATTAGAACACCCCAAATTTATAGCACAGTTGAACATCTGAAACAGAATAGCTTAGTCACCTCCTGGAGTCGGCGGGCAGGGGATGCTTTAGAATAGAACGGTGTATGCTTTGAATGGCCAGAAGCACAGGACCTAAAGTATTGATTCATATCTAAAAAGAAACGGAATCCCTGTGTATTCGCAAAGGTACATAATAACCAGCATTTCCCCCACCTCAGATCCACTGGGCTAAGAGGATAACTTACGCCTTCCCTAACTAGTATGCAGCACTACAGAATTTCAAGGTCAGAAAACTCATATTGAATGCAGCATGTACCTTTGCCCCAGCCCCCTTCCACCATCTTTGCATTGCAGTGCACGGTCATGGTTTGCTTTACCTATCAGAGCACCTTGTTGATTCTCCTTTGCTTGCTTTCCTGCTTGTCAGTTTCCCTTTTTGACTTTGGATGCCAATCAAAACACACTGCAGCAGGTGTGTTTCACCAAGCCAAGGGGAGAACAGTCCAGAGGAGCAGCCCCTCCTGTGTCCCAGATACTGTGCTTTCATTGATACGACCTGAGACCACACTAGATTTTTGAGAATCACATTTCACAGCTGGCTCATTGAACTATAGTGAATCACACTCCTAATCCATTTTCTGAATGCTAAATCTCATCTCCTGTATTCTATAAGCGATAGTTGTCCTCTGTTCTCAAGGACAAGACCTTACATTTATTTCATCCCAGCAGATATGTAGAATTTGTTCTCATATTTTAACCAAATTGGGATTTGTTTTGCTACCATGGTTATCTGCTCTTTTTTTTTTTTTTTTTCCGACTGGGAATGGAACTCACGAACTTGCGCTCGCCAGGCAGACGCTTGTGCCACTGAGCTATACTCCCGGCTAGCATGGTTATCTGATATATGAAGTTTTCTACATTTCTTATCTTCTGTTGCCTTCCTATCAGTTCAGAATCCTACCAGTTAGTTTAGTTACATGATAGTACATATATAATTACCCGACATACCATGTTTATTTATCTTGTTTATTATCTTTTTCCTCCTTTTGGAATGTGAGCTTTATTAGAGCAGCAGTTTTGTTGATTCTGTTTCCTGCTGGGTTCCCTGTTTGTTGTATGAATGTGATTGAAAACGTTCTCATCCAGTCAGCAAAAATGTTGAACGTGTCAGGACAAAGGCTGAACCCTGTATCTTCCACCAGAGGTTGCTCCCCCTCGCAGATTTTCAGATCTTATGGTCACTTAAAAACCCACCTAATAATGTAAGAATCCAGCACAACTTGCTTTCACTTTATCCGGCAGACTATCAAGAGAGTTTGTCACATTTTTGCTAAAATCAGATAGTTCACGTTGGTGATAACTCTCTGATCTATCAATCTGGAAGCTCTTTCCCAAGAAAGGAAATGGAATTCATCTGACACAATGTATCACTTCCTCTTTTTAGCTGCACACAAATCATCCTTTAGATGACTCATGTTGAATACTGCTCCAGAAAGACACAGCATTAGTGGGTGACTTATCCAAACCTTTTGCTTATCTGCAGGGAGGTCCCTCCAGGTTTGAGAGCCCCATGGCTGGGCTTCAGGCCTTGTTCCCAGGGAGGCATTGGATGACAGGTAATACCCCACAGCTGGGAGGTTTGGGCACAGAGGCCGTTGTTCCCACAAATACTGGAATATCACACCTTTCTTGTCTGGGTCCCCACTTCTGCAGCCTATAAAATAAAAATGGTGAGATAATTTTCAAGAATATACTGTGTACTTCGTTGACTACTGTTTATATCCTTTTGGTTTCGTGTGTGGTTGCTACATATAGACAATAACAGTCTGTGATTTGGGGTATATTTGATTTCTTGTATACTGTTTGATCTAAAGAATTTATATATCACTAATCTATTCTCCTCTTCCCATTCTTTCTGACAATTTGTTTTTTAGGCCCTTATCGTGTCAGCACTGAATTATTGCAATGGCCTCCTTGCTCGCTCTGGGTGTCTCATCTCCTGCTTTTCTATCTTAGACTCTTTGATCAGGCTACTCAAAATGTAATCTGTGGACCCCAGCATCAGGTTCTTTTGAGAGCTCATCAGAAATACAGACTCTCAGGCCCCATCCAAAACCTACTGGGTGAGAATCTGCGGGTCAGCAGGACCCATAGGGAATTCATACCCGCATTAAAGTTTGAGAAGTGCTGTCCTTTCTTCTGCCATGCCATTTCTCTACTAAGAAGCATGCCTAAATTTCACATGAATCATCCCCAAACTGTCTCAGAAAATGATTCACCTTCATTTTTAGATGAGATTTTTTTTACATGAAAGTGCAATGCCCACTTATACCTTCTACTCATTGATTCTGAGAATAATGAACAAGTTTATCAGACAAATTTAGAGCAGTTTGCTGGGTGTGGTGGCTCACGCCTGTAATCCCAGCACTCGGGAG